GTGTTATGCGTTATGCAAGAGTCTGTGCTCCCCGCTTTATACTAATTCTATTTTCCTCCATAAGACAAGTGCATCATTCATGACGCACTTGCATCATGCTTTTCTCTAGGATTGAGTGCCGTAAGATAAATAAAGAAGACAAGATTTTGCATTCTCGAAGCGCTTTAAATTTATTTAAAAGATTTTAGATACTTTCGTGCAACAGAAAGTTCAATCTTGATAGAAAATGGGGAAGACCTCGAAGGATAAACGCGATATATACTACAGAAAGGCGAAAGAAGAAGGATGGCGAGCCCGGAGTGCTTTCAAGCTGCTCCAAATTGATTCGGAGTGTCATATTTTTGATGGTGAGTATAATACTAATTAATAAATTTATTTCTTTTTAATTACCATTTTTTATCTTAGCTGTTTCATATAAACTAAGATTATATAGACTGATTTAGATAACGAAAAAAGAATGTATGAAATTAACAATAATAAATAATAAATGTGAGACAGAAGTGTTTACATGAGAAAAATTTTTTTTTCTTTCAGGAGTATCCAAAGCAGTGGATCTGTGCGCTGCACCTGGAAGCTGGAGCCAGGTCTTAGCTCGCAAGTTAACGTAAGTGAACTTTATCAAAGTTCAAGTACTAAATAAAATCTATTCTATTATAATAAGAAAGGGTCGTTTGTAAAATAATCGTATATTTCTGTTTTATAGAGAGAATTATAAGAAGGCCTTGGAAAAAGGTCCTGCACCTAAACCAAAAATTGTCGCCGTTGATTTACAAGCGATGGCACCCTTGGAAGGAGTTATTCAACTGCAAGGTGACATTACTAATAGCAGCACAGCAGAACAGATCATTGCACACTTTGATAACTCTCGTGCAGATTTAGTTGTATGTGATGGAGCACCTGATGGTACATATCTTATCATTTTTTTTCTTGCTAAGATTCTATATAGATTTTCTGAAATAATTAATAAATTTTATTTTGATTGTAGTGACTGGTTTACATGATATGGATATATTTATCCAATCACAGCTGCTACTGGCTGCTTTGAACATAGCTACGTATATCTTGAGATCTGGAGGAACATTTGTCGCAAAGATCTTTCGTGCCAAGGATGTGTCGCTTTTGTATGCTCAACTAAGAATATTTTTCCCTTACGTCTATTGCACGAAACCCAGCAGTTCCCGCAACTCGAGCATTGAGGCGTTTGTAGTCTGTAAGGATTACAGCCAGCCAGAAGGTTATGAACCAAATATGTTGAATCCTTGGATGATGGAGGAGTCATGGGATTTCGATAAATTGACAGGAGTGAATAGGACCATCGTTCCGTTCATCGTGTGTGGAGATCTCAACCAGCCCGATTCTGATATGAGCTATCCACTAAATGTGAGTGTGACATATATATTCTCGTTTAACTGTGAATTAGATAAGTTAACATAAAATAGAAGGAGATTCCTTGCTATTTTTTTACGTTTTCTTTTTTTTTTATATATTTTATTTATATTATATCTCATTCTATCTTGTTCGTAAATATTTTCAGTATGACGGTAAGGAATACAAGTACCACGAACCAGTGCAAGCCCCCATAGCACCACCTTACGCGGAAGCATTGTTAATGAATAGGAAAAGGGCTGAGAAAGGCGCTTCTACTTCCAATGAAAACAACGTTGATGTCGACTTGAGCGCGTTGGACGTCAAAACGGCGATAGAATGCGAAAATGAATCATCAATATCCGAAATAAAATTGATTTCTGCAAATAATGACTTTGACAATGAGCCGAGTACATCCATGAAAGGTATGCAGGATGAAAGTAGCGAAGAGGAAATAGTCATTGGATTACAAAATTTATATCAGCTTGATACTTCCGATCATAACACCGACTTCAGCGAGAATAACGACGAAGCAAATGAATGCACAGATGAGACATCTGAAGTGTTGATCGCTTCTAGTGTTTCTAGTGTTTCAGATAATGACTGATCCGAATTTAATGAAAATTTAGATTTAATGAAAATTGAATATTGAAGAAAAAACAGACATACACATTGATATGTCACAATATTTAAACTTGTATCTAAGGAAGAAGAAAATACGGATAATAACTGAATGCGTTGCAAAACAATTAATTTATTTCTTCGTATTATATATATGCTAATTATTATTTAAATATATAAAAATTTTTTTACATTGTTATCCTAAAAAATAATCTCTGATCTGTTACTTTAATTTCCAGAAATCGAACATCTATCGAAAACAAATTCCTTAATTTGTACTGTTAAATAAAGTTTCTTTATTTTTTTATTTGTCTAAAAAATTATTTAATTTTTTTTATAAATTTAAACAAAAAAAACATAATTTTTAATTGTTTTATCCTAAGTTTTACTTTCAATTTGCGGTTATATAAATACAAATTTAAAAAATATATATAATATAAATCTATTGTAGAAAATACGTATAATCTATTATAAATTCTATAAATTATAGACCCTGATTTTCATCTATTTTTAAATATATATATATATACTCACACATGTCCGTTTACATTGTTATTATCCTGTGAACGTATTGACGAACTATTTGTCGTTGAACAGTTAGTAAACATTTGATCGTTTTAGCAATTACATCTCGATATGTTGAAAGACAAAATATTTACTAAAAGCGCTACACGATTTCCAAAAACTTTTCAATTCGGACAGGCGAATGCAGCTTGTCGGTTCTGCAAGAAGATATTTTGCTGCACAAAATGTCGTGATCGTCACGTGGACAAGGTGCATCCCAATGTGAACACCGATTGTCCCCTCTGTGCCTCTCAAATATTGCCGTTACGACAGTGTGAGTCCACGAAACTGAACTTGGAGGATGAGAAATTATTGTGTCACATAGTGAACAAACATTTGCCATTGCGTTGCCGGCTATGCGGTGATTTGTTTGCATCCAGAGAAGATTTCAAGTCTGTTGGTAATTTACGACGCGAATTAATAATAAGATCCAAACAGTATACAGTTATACTTGTAAAAATAAAAAACCATCCATGGGTTGCGTTCCATTTAACGCTCACAACGCGTGGAATCATTTCACAATTGTTATTTATTAAATATGAAACAAGGACAAACGATTCTCGCAAGGGTTGCGAGCGTTAAATGGAACACAGCCATGATCGAGTCTTAAAGTTGAAAATTTTTAAGGATAAGTTCATTAAAATTTTATCAATTTATAGGCAATTATTGTCTTCAGAAAATATTTAATTGATATTTCAGTATTACATAAAGAATTTAATACAACTTCTTTTTCATTCTTTTATTAGACAATAAACATTATGGTCTGTTAGAAATATATAGAAATAAATGACTGTCAAATACACGATATTTCTTTATCTATTATAAAATTGTATTTTTATTTGTAAAGTCTTGTCTCTATTT